GTCCTGAGTTCCTTGCTCATGTTCGCTCTCCTTCTGCTCCTGATTTGGACCTTGAGATTTCAGTCCAGTGCTCCAATGTGGGTCTCTGTCTCTGTCTCCTTTCATCGCCTGATGAAGGTTAATATGCAGGAGGATGCCTATATGTTTTTCTTTGGGTTCTCCTTCTTATTTAGCTTCTCTAAGAACCCGAATTATAGGCTCAATGTCCTTTATTTATGGCTAGAAACCAAATATGAGTGAGTACATCCCATGTTCCTCTTTTTGGGTCTGGCTTACCTCACTCAGGATAGTGTTTTCTATTTCCATCCATTTGCCTGCAAACTTCAAGAAGTCCTTGTTTTTTACTGCTGAGTAGTACTCTAATATGTATATATTCCATACTTTCTTCATCCATTCTTCAATTGAGGGGCATCTAGGTTGTTTCCAGGTTCTGGCTATTACAAACAATGCTACTATGAACATAGTAGAGCATATATTTTTGTTGCATGATAAGGCCTCTCTTGGGTATATTCCCAAGAGTGGTATTGCTGGGTCCATGGGTAGGTTGATCCCAAATTTTCTGAGAAATCGCCACACTGCTTTCCAGAGTGGTTGTACAACTCTTATAAAGGAAAACATTTAATTGGGGTGTCTTACAGTTTCAGAGGTTTAATCTATTAGCATCATGGCAGGACATGGTGGAGTGCAGGCAAACATGGTGCTGGAAAAGGAGCTGAGAGTCTTACATCTTGACCCACAGGCAACAGGAACTGAATTGTTTGTCACACTGGGCATAGCCTGGACATAGCAGACCTCCTAAGAGTGCCACTCTTTGGGGGCCATTTTCTTTCAAACCATGGTGCACACACTCTGCCTCTAAGTCGCACTTTAGTACCCAAATAGTTTTGTATCATTTGTAAAGGCATTTAAAGGTTAGCTCATAAAGACTTCTGGGCATTTAAATGAATTTTAAGTAACTTCTCCTTAGGCAAAAATAATTAAATTATACAAATTTAGGACTGTCCAATAGTCATGGACTCTATAATAAAAAATTAATACTGTTTGTCACATCAATAAAAAGATAGCAATTTAAACATTTCCAGTATTCTGTGTAAATAAACATCTTAAATATTCTCCCCGAAAGTAATGCATTGTTGTTTAGAAAACTGATTTAAAAAGAAGTTAGCTCAGTCGTTTCATACATGTTCTTACCAACACTGGCGGAGGCTTCCCTCTGAGCCTCGACTTCCCATTTCTGCACTGGTTTGTCTTGCGCACTGTGGTGTCAGGTGAAAGCTCCTAGAAAACCCCCACAGAAGGAATGCTTGCTTCCCAGGGGAAGCTGACTTCCCATTGGGCTGTGCCCTGTGCTCATCCCCGAGTGGCAGGACAAGACTGCAGTGGCATCTTGTGGATCTGCTCAAATCTGAGCAGCTTAGAACAACAGAAATTAATTTTTCATGTTTCTGGATGGCGGGGGTCTGGAATCACAGAGTTTGTCGATCTGTGCTGCCTCTGGATACGAGAGGAAGATTCGGCTTCTGTCTTTACCAGCTCATGGTGGCTCTGGCAACTTCATTCTTACTTCGGTCTCTGTGATCACACTCCTCCCTCACTTCCTCTACGTGAATGCGTCACCCTGCCTTCTTGTCTTATAATACAGGCTATCTCATGAAAATGCTTAATGGAATGACAGCTGTTTTTCAAATGAGGCTGTGATCATGTGTTCTGGGAAATGGGATGTAGAATTATCTTTAGGGGGCCACCCCGTAGAGCTGGCAAATCATCAGAAAAGGGGAGCCCTACTCACCAGCACTGGTCTATTCCGTCCGTACTGCCCCCGTGATGAACTCCAGGCTACTGAGGGGAAGCCACTGACCGTGGGATTCAGATACTAGCAGCATGCCACTGTGCAGGGTTTCCACCTGTAGAGCCAACCTCAAGATTTCAGGTGTTGATAAGATGTAACAAAATGATAAGGAAGGAAGACGGCGTGAGAATTGCACCTTTTATTTAGTTTTATATGCTTTGAATTGCTATGGCAATTTAGTGTAACAAATAGCTCAAGAGTTCTCTGTTCCCCAACTGATTCATATGGGTTAATGTGAGGCAGCATCCGTCAGCATCCCTTTCGACAGGATATACCAAGTGATGAAGCCTGAGTCATCGAGTCTGGGGGTGGGCAGTTGGCCAACAATAGCCACAGCATGTGAGCTGAAAATGGGGTTGTCATTCTTTTAGGTAAGGTTGGGGTGTTAGTGCCTAAAGAAGGGGACAGGAAAACCCAAGTAAATCACTTTCAGAATCATTTAAACATATGCATGTCTTATATATATTTAAATATTTTTTATTTAATTATGTGCATATGTGTACGTATGAGTATGTGCACATATGTAAGTGAGGGTGCCCGTGAAGGACAGGGGCATGGATAGTCCAGAGCTGGAGTTACAGGTGGTTATGAGCCATCCAACACGGGTGCTAAGAACGACTATTCTGGCTAGTTTATGACAACTTGACACAAGCTAGAGTTGTCTGAAAGGAGGGAACCTTAATTGAGGAAATGACTCCATAAAATGAGGTTGCAGGACATTTTTTAATTTTGTAATTGATGGGGGAGAACCTAGCCCATTGTGGGTGTGGTCACGCCTGGGCTGATTGTCCTGGGTTCTATAAGAAAGCAGGTTGAGTAAGCCATGAGGAGCACTCCTCCATGGTCTCTGCATCAGCTCCTGCCTCCAGGTACCTGCCCTGCTTGAGTTCCTGTTCTGGCTTCCTTCGATGATACAACATAATGTGGAAGTGTAAGCCCAATAAACCCTCTCCTCCCCAACTTGCTTTTGGTCATGGTGTTTCATCACAGCAGCAGAAACCCTAAGTTGGTACCAGAATAGTGTGACAGACCTAACCACGTTGTTTTGGGGGAAGATTGTGGACAGACTTTGGAACTTTGGGCTAGAAAAGCCATTGAGTATTGAGAGCTCAGTGGGCTGTGCTCTAGGAGGTTGGAAGAAAAGAATCCTCAGAGCAATACAGATGGTGGAGGCCTGGATTGTGAAGTTTGAGGGGAAAGCAAAGACTCTACCGGGCACTTTTGAGTTAAGAATTTGTGGTTCTGATTAGAAGGGGCCAAAGAATTAATTGGCTGTGATAAACAAAATACCAGAACCAAGGAAGTAAAACCTTTGTTTAACTGGGACAATAGAAACTGAGCAACTGAGCTAAGAAATTAGTGGTGATTAAGTAGAGACCAGCATCACCAAGGTGAGATCTTCTGCGAAGTGTTTACTCAGGGTCTGCACACAGAAGTTGCTCCAGAAGAGGCCATGGTTGTACCTCCTGCTAGCAGCTGAACTTGGTAATGTAAGTGTCACCCAGGTGATACTGGTTTTGAAGGCATGAAGGGGCCATGGAGGGCAGCTACAGCTTGGAACTGTGAGAGACCAGGTGAGGCCATTGGTGAAGGTGCAGCCTTGGTAGCAGCTGAATCCCAGAACTGAAGGGGTCTTGGAGGAAGATTGGTTTGGCACCACGGAGAGAGTCCAAGAGAGACTGTTGCTGAAAGCGCAGCCCCGTTGCAGCACAGACTGTCAGTACCGTCTGATAACCACCAGGAGCAGCAGCGGTAAAGCCAGCAGGAGCCTGGACCACAAGCCGCAGAAGGCAGAGCCAGACAAGTGACCCAAGCCCCTTGGAGGAGCCCAGAAGACTGTGAGTGAATCCCAGACGCTGGCCACTAAGTTATTTAGACTGTGGGAGTTTAGTTTTGCTCAAATTTTGACTGCGCCTTGGTTCTTCCCTCTTGAAGTGAGAAACTATTTACTTTGGATTTTTACAGGAGCCCACAGTTGAGAGACTGAATTTTAAAAGACTGGATTTTTAAAGACACTGGCTATATGAAAGAGATTGAATTTTTAAAGACTGTGGGACTTGGGGTTTGGACTGTTCATATTATAATGTTGACATTGATGTGTGCTCTTGGGGAAGAAGAAGAAGAAGAAGAAGAAGAAGAAGAAGAAGAAGAAGAAGAAGAAGAAGAAGAAGAAGAAGAAGAAGAAGAAGAAGAAGAAGAAGAAGAAGAAGAAGAAGAAGAAGAAAGGAACAGTTGTGTCTCAACGGTGATGTATTTGTGTGTCAAGCTGACAAGAGGTCGGTTGCACTGGTTAGTTTGATTTCAACTTGACACAAACTAGTGACTTATCTGAAGGAGGAAACTTCAATTGAGAAAATGCCTCCATAAGACCAGGCTGTAGGGATTTTCTTTTTTTTAAATTTATTTATTATGTATATAGTGTTCTGGGCACCAGATCTAATTATACATGGGTGTGAGCCATCATGTGGTTGCTGGGAATTGAACTCAGGACCTTCAGAACAGCAGTCAGTTCTTTTAACCTCTGAGCCATCTCTCCAGCCCATGTAGGGATTTTCTTAATTGGTGATTGGTTGGGGGGGATCTAGCCCATTGTGTGTGGGTCCATCCCTGGGCAGGTGGTCCCAGGTTCTATAAGAAAGCAGGTTGAACAAGCCATGAGGAGCAAGCCAGTAGGCACCATTCCTCCATGACTTCTGCATCAGCTCCTACCTCCAGGTTCCTGCCCTGCTTGAGATCTGTTCTGATTTCCTTCAGTGGTGGACTGTGATGTGGAAGAGATGCAAAACAAGTCATTTCCTTCCCAGCTTGCTTTTGGTAATGGTGTTTCATCACAGCAATAGAAACTCTAACTAAGATGGCTGATTGCAAGAGCAGTACATACTCTTAACTACAGTAGGCCATTTTTTTCTCCAGCCCCCATTTAAATATATTTTAATGACTTTATATCAATGAAAATCTTATCATTTTATTAAGTTCGAAAGTAGATATGAGTATTGTGGGTATTCAATAATGCTCAAGTCAGAATCTCTCCAGGAAACTCAGTGATTTTTATGCCTTCTCATTTCTGCTTGTAGGATCTGCTTTTAATTTTGGATACATTTATCAGAAGGCAGTTAGATTCAAAGGAAGAAAGACAGTCCAGGTCTTAAGGTATTGTTTAAAAACTATTAAAGACTTTATTGAGATATAATCAATGTATCATGCAATTTCCCCATTTACAAATAAAATTCAGTGGTTTTTAAATGCAGTTATCAAGTGGTCCAACTAGCACTTCGATTAATTCAAGAACATTTTCATCGGCACCACCCTGCTGTCTCCTAAAGTCCAGGCCCTCTCTCCAAGTCCCAGCTAACCACTGTTCTGCTTTCTCTACGTAGGTATGACTATATACTCCAGAAATATGGAGTGGGTGCTTTCCTTGTGATTGTCTTCTGTTACTTAGGAAGAAATTTAAAAAGTCATCCGTGCCGCCATCTTTATTATTTCATACCCTTCTGCTGGCTAGTATCCCATTGTATAGGTATAACATCTTGCACTCATCCATTCATCGAGGCGTTTGGATTCTTTCCACTTTCTGCCTATATTGGAAATGCGGTTGTGAATAAACATCTCCCCCTCCCCCTTTCTTTCCCAGTTCTGGGGATTGAACCTTGGGCCATTCACATTGCTATGCAAACACTCCATGACCGAGCTATATCCCAGCCCCGCTGATGATAGGAATCGTTTCGGACACATCTTAGGTCAACAGAATTTTGCATTCCTCTTAGTGCAATGGTTTTTAAATGATAAGTTTTAACTACATTTTTAAAATTTTTTCCTGCGATGAAGGGGGCTGTATTTTATGACTTAACTCAGAAATGTCATGTATACAATTTCAAGCCTCTTAAATATGGGATCCATCCCTTTTCTTAAATTCTTCTGTCTCTTGGTAACAGGGGAGGAGAGGCTGACTCTTGGGGCGAAGTGGGAGCTGGCTAACTCGGCATTCCTAGACTCGGGAGCAGGTGTGATGAATTTCCTTCACTGCACCAAATCCAGGCCTTGCCTGCAACATCCTCACGGCTTTTAGCCCATCACAATCTTCTTCCAAGGGCGCTGTGCATGCAAGCTGTAGGAAAGAATGAAAATAAAGCAGAGTTAGAGGCTTTGGGGAATTTTACAGGGGAGAGGCGTGGAAGCAGCTTCTTTGACACAGGCCAATGAAAGCCTCACTCTGTCCCTGGTGTGACAGGGAAGCCTCGTCCCATGTGTCCTGGGGACCCGCAATGAAAAAGAGGGCTCTGTATTAATTTATAGCAAGCGTCTTCCAAGAAATGCAGTGTGTCTCAAACAGACTTTCACTTACTCCCTGGAGGGAATATGCATAAAACTTGCACGAGAAATACTCCCTTTAAAACTTACACTCTGCAGTTAGTGCTGGGCACAAATAGAACTAGCAAAGCAGACTTCCAGACCAAACATTCCAGTGTATTATTGTCAGTGTGCTTTATAAATCAATGCAGAGCCAGAAAAGCAGAGCCTCCTCAACAGCCCCATGACTCGGCTCACTGATGACCCCCTACTCGGCCATGCTCTAGGGAATGGAAAGATACCTCACTGCTCGTCTATAGCACGTGGCTCAGGCTGTGTATCCTGGGCACGGGCAGCCTCAGTTTTACTTTATCCTCCAGCTCAGACCTCCAAATGCATCCCAGCGGGGAGCTGCGTGAGGATTCTTGGAACAGGTCAGCACCGAGGGAGAAGAGTTTTTGTCTTAGTTTCATTTCTGACGCTGTGATAAAAACACCCTGACAAAAAGTACCGTGAGAGAAGGGCTTTTTGCAGCCTGCAGTTCAAGGTCACTGTCATTCACTGTGGAAGCCAAGCATGAGCCCCAGATAGCTGGTCCCCCGACATCCAGTCAAGAGTGGAGGAAAAGAGTGTGGATTTGTTCACTAGCTTGCTTCTGCTTGGCTGGGTTTCTCCACTTAGCGCAGTTCAGAACCTCTGCTGAGGCAATGGGTGGCCCACTCTGGGCTGGGTCCAACGCACCCGTAAGCTTAATTAAGACAATCCCCTACAGATATGTATTCAGTCCATCCCAGTGTAGACAAGTATTGAGACTCTCACCATGTGATTATGGGTTATGTCAAGTTGACAGTTAAGGCTATCTTTAGCCTTTGACTGTCACACTTAACACGTAGCCCTTTTAAACCATAATGTTCCTCTCCTAACACCCAAAGTCTCCACCGAGAGTCTGGGGAAATAGTTCAATTGGTACAGTACCTACCATAACCCAAGCTTGAGAACCTGATTTTAAATCCCCAGTACCCATATCAGGGTCTTCTAGCTCATGTGTCTGTAATCTCAGGGCTGGGGGCAAAGGGTGGAGACAGGAAGATCTCCAGAGTTCTTTGGGCAGCCAGTGTAGACCATTGATGAGCTCTCTATTTAGTGTCAGACACTGTCTCAAAAAATAAGATGAAGAGAAATTCTGGCCTGTACACAGATGTGTGTGCACACAAAGCATACATATGCACACTTATGTATGCACAACTCTAAGAAGAAAAAAAAAACACTGGCCAGGGCCCTATTGGTTCATTTCTGAGAGCCATACCTGGAGATGTTTGTGACTTTCATTCCACTCCTGGTAAACTTCTAGGTTCTATAAATCCTTCCCCAGTGATCATCAAGGATTGGAAATTTTAATCCATTTAGCAACAAAAAGATTCAATGCAATATCCAAGGGTTCCTCTAGTGCCCAGCATGGCGTTTTCAGGGGAGTACGGTGGGGGCACCCATAATTTTAACATACACATTAGTTAAAAGTCATATTATTTGTCCACAACACTAACTCCATGATGTCTGGAGGCCTGGTCAAAGATAAAAAGGGCAGATCCCTGCTGGAAATTAAAATTTTGAGATGGAGACAGCAGAACAGGAAGACAAGCAAGGGCCATATCTAAGTAACAGATCTTGTATGATTGTTCATGTTACACACCTGGAAAGGCCAGCCCTCCTGCCAACATTTAAAAATAAAAGACGCTCACACTGGAAAATCTGTTGACACAGGGTCTGCATCTCCAAATGGCTGCACGTGATTGGCTGGTGCCAAAGAGTAGCTTGCATTAGTTTGCTGGAACTGCCATACTCAAACGCTAGAAAACCCAGGGGCTTAAACAAAGAAAATCTATCACTTCACAGTTGGAGTCTCAAATTTGTGACCAACATATCAGCAGGGTTGATTTCTTTGGAGGATATTTCTTGGCTCGTGACTGGTCCCCTTGTCCGTGTATCTTCCTGTGGTCGTTCTCTGTCCACGTCTGCGTCAACATATTTTTATCAGGACCCCATCAGTCACCTTAGATTAAGGCTGATTTTACTAAAACACAATCATGTCTCTAAAGAACCTCTCTCCTGGGGCTGATGAGATGGCTCAGCAGGTAGAGATGCTTGCTGCCAAGATTGATGATCTGAATCTATTCCCCAGAACCCAAAATGTGAAAAAACAACCCCTGGAAGCTGTCCTCTGACCTCCATAAGTGCGTACACAAAATAAACAGATAAACCAATCAATAAATGAATCTGTCTCCAAAACCAGCTCCATTCTGAGGTCCTGGGGATCTGAGCTATAACATGAATTTTGGAAGCCTGCAGTTTAACCTATAACATGGTTGTTTCCTCTAAGCCAGGACACAGTACTCTAACTCACTGAACTAGCCATCTGAAAAACCCTCCTCACCCAGCGTCTTTCCCTTCCCAAGGCAGGGTTGCCACAGGCCATCTCCTTTGGGTGTGGGGCTGTTCTTCCTCCTGGCTCACTTCTCACTGAGAGAGATCAGTTCTTCCAGACAGTATATGGACCCGTGACACTCTCTCATCGGGGACAACAGCTGCATATTTAGCTACAGAACTAAGGTTGCTACTCAAGTAATCTTCGCGGGGGCAATCATGAGATGCCTAATAAACAGTGATATTAATAAACGGTGCCCATTACATGGAGATCACAGTTGAAGCAGTGCTGCAGGAAGGAGCTGCCGTGAGGCATAACCGACTGCTCACGCTGGAGACAGGACATACAGGTTTGAGGAGTGGAAAACACTCAGTGGCGCCATAATTCTTCCTCAGGGCTGATCACCTGACTAGATGAGGAATGGCTGTAAATTTCAATGGAAATTCAGTCTGGTCTTCTTACCTATTTGCAGAAAAATGTTAGCCAGATTATAGCTGAAAACTCTGCTAATTCTGGGGACGTTTTGGTCTAGTGCCTGGAACAATTAAAGCATGCATTCACACCTACCACACTCGACATCGAGCAGAATTTCCAGCACAACATTTAGTACTTTATTTTTAAAAGAAATAGCAGCGACTGGGGGGGGGGGGAGTGCTCGTTCGGCAGCTTTCTAGCTGAGCTTTCTGTGAGACTGGAGGGTGAGGGGCTTCTGGGATGAGAAGAGATATGGTTTGCGCTTTTAAAATGCTTTGCTCAGAATCAGGAACCTTTGGATGCTGAAACACGCCTGCACCTGCACAGACGTTAACAAATCACGTTTGCAAAACTCTGAGAAAACATGATTCTGTGGGCTGTGTATTCGGTACCGGAACCTAAAGGAGCCTTAGAACAGCTTACTCGAAACCATTTGCTTTCAAGACGAGTAACAAGGAGTTCTGAAATTTCAGATGCCTCCCTCACCCCGCACCAGAACATTACCCACTATGGCTGTTGCTTTCAGACCAGTGTACTACCCACCTAAAGGGATTGCTTTTAAGTAGGGTTTGTCCTGTTAGCTTAAATTGTAAGCAAAGAAAACCAAATAAAACAAGCTAGCATACACACGCACACACCCTGTTCTCTCTACAGCAGAATCTCTACTTACACTCCAGAATTAAGAAAGAAAGGCCACTTCTACTCCAACTAGCTTACCAAACAGAAGAAACCTTTCTGTGGTTGGTTTAGGCCATTCAGGGCTGCTGGTCTCCACACAGCTCTCTGGAAGCTGATTTGAAGCTAACACCAGGGGGCGCAGTATCCTTTGTCCTGACATATTGAATGCAGGCTCTGAAGCCTGCCCGGGCCTTCAAGAAAGTTGATGTTTTCCCCCTGACTTCCACAGTTTCTTCTTGGAATTGTCCAACTCCCGGGATCCCTCATCTCCTCTCCATCCTCCCAAAGGTCCTCAGATTCTCCCCACAGTCTCAGAAGTGTGCAGGCTGCAGGATTTAGCAGGAAGGGCCGACAGCCCTTTCCCATGGTGGCTCCTCTGCTAAGTCTAAGAGACCCACCAGTGAGTGGCCTATCATTCTTATCATATCTTCTCATCAGACCCCCAAATTAAAGAAAGTCGCAAAGCAAAGGTTTGTTTTTGTTTTATTTTAAATCAAAACAAAACGAGTGTCACGTGGGGACTGACATAGATCCATCTTTGCCCCCTCTCTCTCACACACATACAAATGTAACAAATCATTGTTTCTGGAAAGCTGCTACCCTCTTACGGGGTGTGTTTCCCGAACCGTTTATGAATAAATAGCCTTTGGTAGGGGATGCTTACCAAAGAGATGGACTTAGACATCTGTCGGGCTGCACCTCTGCTGCCATTAGCCAGTCACTCTGTACAGTATGCCTGCATCTCTATGTCCTAACCAACTTGTCATCAGCAGAAAGACATCTACTTCATACTGCTGAAGTCTTCTCATGTCAGAGACCCAGTGCTCCCATTCCCACAGGGCATGTCCTTTCCCTTTGTCGCCATCAAGCACCAAAAGCACAGCCTTTTGCAACATCCCCAGATTCACTGGGTGTGGTGGCTGTCACCTTTAACCCCAGCACTCAGGAGGCAGAGGCAGACAGATCTCTGTGAATTTGAGACCGGGCTGGGGCTGGTCTACATAGCTAGTTCCAGGAGTAAAGCAACCCCCACCATCCCACAAAAAAAAAAGAAAGAAAGAAAGAAATAAAAGAAAAAAAGAAAGAAAGAGAAAAAAGAAAAAGCCCTATTTCTCCATTGTTCTAATGGCATGCAGGTACGCAGGTTCCTAAAGACATCTTTGAAAAGCAGCACAGCCTCTTGCCTGCCTCTCATTGGAGTCTCCTAACAACTCTCAGGGACAGTCAGGGAAATCTGCAGCTGA